ACACACACACACACACACGCACTTCCACAGGATGACACTGCTTTCTCCTAACTCATGAAACTAGGAGGTAACTAAGGAACAAAAATAAAGGGAGTAGACAAAAGACACTGATAAGCAGACAGAATGGAAGCAGTTTGCTCTGGGCTCAGTGACCTGTCCCTGGAGGGCAGCTGGCATTTGCTGAACCCAGGGGGAGAACCCAGGGAGACAGCGGCATGTAGCATCCCTCGGCCCTGTTCCTTCTCGCCCTTCCAGGTGAGCGGGCCTGGGGCCTAAGGAACAGGATTCCTCAGGGCTGGGCAGGAGATAGGAGGGTCAGTGCTGGGAACGGGAATGCGTCGGGGAAAATGTCAGGGCCAGTCCACTCACAGAAAGAGAGAAAGGAAGGAAGGAAGAGCGGGAGGGAGGGAGTGAAAGAAGGGTCAAAAGCTGGGTTTTTGTTATCTGACAATCGCTAAGTTAAGGGTTAGGAAAAGAAATACAAAATAACACAGATGATGACTGTTTTCTGGGATATTAATTCTCCTGAGCCCTGGCAGATAGATGATACATACAGATAGAGCGATAATGACATATGATGTAGACGGATGATAGAAGAGAGACAGTTTGATGGATGGACAGGTGGGTGGAGGGATGGATGGACAGGTAAATAGGTCGATACACACACACTCACACACAAACACACACACACTCACACACAAACACACACACACTCACACACAAACACACACACGCGCACACTTGAACACATGAATCCCTGAGGAAATTTAACAACGCGCCAATCCTCGGGTTCCAGCTCAGACCCACTCAGTCATGAACTCAGGCATCTTCTAAAGGGAGTTCAGAGCACAGGAGGAAGACAACCAGCGAGAAAAAGGTGTGAGAGCTCTCTGGAATGTCGCTCAACCCCACACATCAGCCGGCCTAAGTTTCTGCTCTGGACAAGCCAAAGACTCGAACGTTTTTCAGTGCTGGGAGTGCAACAAACAAGACAGGCTCGAAGTGGCCTGGTGGCACCAGGAAGGCGCTGAGCCAAGTCTTCAGGAATGAGTGAAAGGGTTTGACCCCACCAAGAGAGAACAGAATACTTTCCAGGTGGAGGAAATAGTTTGTACAATGGTATGGAGACACAAAAGAGCATGGTTCTTAGGTAAAGAAAAACAACTGTGTGCGTGTGTGTGTGTGTGTGTGTTTGAGAGAGAGAGAGAGAGAGTTTGGGTGTTTTTATTTCCATATAGATTCACATAGGAAGCGATTTTAGGGGTATGGGGCGTCATGCTAGTGGACGTGAGTGGGTGAAGGGCAAGTCTCAGCTCTGGGACTCCAAAATTCAGTGGTGGCTGCAGTGGAAAGCATGGATTGGTGGGGAGTAGTGTGTCACCTCAGGGCAAGGGAAGGGAGAGTTTCCCAAGTGGGCGAGGGTGCAGTGGTCAGTAGGATGAGGAG